AAAGGGTTATTTCGGTAAATCGAATTTTTCTATAAGTCGAAGTCATTATCTTATACCCACCACCTATTACGATTCACTAACTCGAATATATGACAAATTAAGTATAAAATGCTCAGACTATAAAATATAAGTAAACGACAGAGCTTGTACACACAACATTGTAATAACGTTGATATTTAATTAAAGTTCAGCTAGTGACCGTTTAAGTTACATGAACTTCAAAGATACGTACAACAACAGTCAGAAGTTTCTGACAATATTTTTTCTACACTTAATAGTTTAGGTAGTTTTATTGAAAATACTTCCAATATTAAACAAAAAAGACAGATTTTCTACTTTCATAGAAAATAATGTATATTTGCCCAAATTGCAAATACTTATAATATGTATATTATATTATAATAAATACACATTTTCCCACATTTTTATTTAAAATGTTATGTATGTTTTAAATTCCCTTTGTAACTCGAAGTTTCGATACGTCGAATTTTTTTTTTTTTTTGGTTCCTTGTGACTTTGAGATACTAAGGTTTCGCTGTATATAATATTTAATATATTTACAGAATATAATAATATATTGATACTATATTATATTGCTATAATTTTTGATGAATTGTTCATTGTTACCATGGACATCTATAACATTCGTATTATGTGTAATAATTTGTTCATAACTATATTAAATTCGATGAATCGTCTACAATATATCTCAATATAAATTGAAATAATACGTAAAACGTATCTACATTTGTTAGAGTATGCACATAGTGATCGTATTTGTAATGTTGATTCACGTAAATAGCATATGGTCAAAGCCCGTGCAATTTAAAGAATCACGAGTCAACACAGCCACGACGAACATGAGGGAGTCATATTTTAAGTACATACACAATTTTGAACGATGTTACTTGTGGTCAAGAACGTTGCCGTACCGTGAACGTTTGGAGTATTTGATTACCTTGCGTCGGAAAGTAATCACGTTTCACATAATTACTATAACTCGATTAGGTGTATTACATAACACATATTACACTTATCCGCTGTAAACTACAACGATGTGCCATTACTTATTTACAAACATGCATTAAAAAACTGTATGTTAAATAGAAAATATCGTTTCAGATTTTAGATGTAACACATCAATGGATTGAAGTATACAAGGAATATCAAATGCCTTTCAAAGAAACACTACGCCCGCCGGAAGAAAACTTGGTTCACACAATAAACGTACATTTTTTTTGGGAACCAATCATTTTTGGTTTCGTTATTTGGTTCGGATCATTCGTCATAGTTATCATAGCGCTGGCTATGCATGCTAAGAAAGCTAGGGGCTGATTTTGATTACCTACTATAAAACATAAAAAAAAAGGTATAATACAGCGTCACTTTGTTTTAAGTAGGTATGGGCATTAATAAAACGTTATTTTATGTATATAGTTATTGGAATACGTATTAATAGAGCTTTTCAATTAGAAAAGGTCACATCTGATGTGGAATAGATCGTTGTTTTAAAAAGTGAATATGTCACAGCAAATGAAAACGAATTGAAGAATATTATTGTTATTTACAGTAAATTTACGATTTTTACTTACTAATTGGTGAGAAACCCATCATTGGTTTCCAATCAAACAAGATAATTATTCCTTTAGGAATGAAGAATACCTTTATTGATCTTTAGTAATAACTGCATTTACTAACAGGTATCGTTATTTCCAAGTTAAAGTAGAGAAATAGTGAATGTTGTATGGTCTTATATTATTATAATAAAGTAGTAGTAATTTTTTTTAATTCAAATTTAAGATTTTTATGAAATGTACCCAAGTATTTTAAAATGTTATAGTAATATAAGTAAATTTATTAAAAATACATAAATAACATACACCCGCGTATGCGCTCCACTACTCCATTGATGAGTATATTCAATTTCCAATTTCTAAACGTAATTTTAAACAATTAACTTTAATTCTCTATAAGATTTAAAAAAATATGCTAACTTATAAATGCATATGTATAGAAACCCAAGTAGGTTTAATATCTTAAATAGGTTATTTAATAAAATATTTATATTTTATTTTAAATCCACTTTTTAACTGTGGATAGTATGAATTAATTTTAAGTAAAACCCTGATTAATTATTTTATTTATTCAATTAAAAATCACAAAACAAATCATTTAATATCAATAATCATAACAATGTACTGGGTACATACGACAATTCTCTTCTTTCAATTTTGAATAAGCCAACCATTAAACATTTTAAGCCATTTAAACTAAAAATTACGTTTAAATATACACCAATCACCCATAAATTATGTAAAACTGAAATTTTTTCTGTATTGGTTAATGGTTTTAAGCAATTGATATAAAAACCAATATCAAATTTAAAATCAGATTATGTCTATTACTCTGATTTATCAATTTATTTTTTTCTTCAAAAATTACAATATTCTGTGTTAGATAATTTTCTTCAATGATAGAATCACTGCAGTTTGACTAAAAGAAAAAAAAATTATTTATTTATTTTTATAGTTGGATTAAGTGATTTATACTACAAAAAAAAAAAAATGTTTTACGGTTACGAATAATAGTATCACGCAAGCAAGTTCGGATACTTTTTTCGCGCACACCACTTAATTACACCGCGTAGGTATATATCCATACACTTTGCCGACCGTGTCAGTCATACTATACATAAAAAAAAAATGACTATTTTGATTTGTAAATATGATACGATTAAATAAGAAATCAAAATACACAGGACACAAGTAAAATTAATTCATGAGTGTGGTAAACATTTATTTTGAACAATATTATGTAATTCACGATAACTTATAACGATTATTATATTTTATTATATTGTATAATTTATAATATTTTCGTTGCACTCAGGTTACTTGAAGATAGATGTAGCTCAATCAACAACAAAATTATTTGCCAGATTGAACTACAAACACCGATAAGTGATAGAATCAATGTTCATGACAGAGATTTGGTAGTAGAACGGCAATATAATTCTAATGAATTGCTCCATTTTGTCGATGCACAGAAATAACTGTCGACTTTTGATCAAAAAATAGTTTAAAAAAAGGTATACAACACGTAGCAACCGAGTGGTGAAATTTTTTTCCTTGACGCACCTGAAGGCACTGGAAAAAAATTCTTGCTCAATTTGATACTCACTGAAATTTCATCAAAAAATGTAATTGCACTAGTTATAGCCAGAGACGTATTTATAGTTTTAACGCCTCAGGTAAAATTTTATTGGCACCCCTACACACGTCTTATACGATTTTTCAAGAAAGATAATATTTATTATTAATGTATTTTACACGGTCTATATTTGGTATTATCATTAAAATTAAAATCGCAGTGTGATATTACTATCCAAAATCTTAAAATATTTTAACTGACAAATGAAAATGGATGATGGTTACAAAAAAATGCTGCCACCCCTTGATTACAAAAAAATGTGGCACCCGGGGCGATTGTATCCTCTCGCGCCTCCTAATTACGTCCCTGGTTATAACATCGTCTGGAGTTGCATAAACGTAAGGTACTCGATAGTGGGCGTACAATGCGTTCATCTCTTAAGCTTCTATTAAATGTAAACCACACAAACATGTAACATCGGTAAAAATTCTGGAATGGCTGCAGTATTAAAAACACTCACTTATTGTATGGGATGAATGCATATTGCATACATATTGCGCACAAAAAATTTTTTGATGCTCTTAACCGTACTCTTAAAGATTTCAGAGAAAATGACCGACCAATGGGTAGAGCTATATTGCTTCTTGCTGACAATTTTCCACAAACATTGCCAGAGATTCCAAGATCAACACCACTCAATAAACTAAATGTATGTTTGTAAGTGCCATATCTTTAGAGACATATAGAAAAACTTATATTGTCGACCAATATGCGTATGCATTTACTTCAAGATGCTGCTTCGCTAATATTCACAAAACAGCTTTTGGATATGGGTAAAGGAAAACTTCAATTTGATCTGACTATACGTGAAATATATTTTCTGCCAATTGCCTGGCAAATGCAGTCATCAATTAAAAATGTTGAACAAAAAGTTTTTCTCAATATTGAAAACAATTGCAAAAATCATAATTGGCTTTGCTAACTATCAATTTTGGCCCCGAAGAATGATGATGTCAACAAAATAAACCATTGAATTTAATTTAAACTACCATGTGAAGTTGTCAAGTATAAATCGATTGACACATTTATAAATAAAAAACAAACTGTCAGCTATCCAATAGTATTTCTTAACTCGTTGAAAGCATCTGGAATACCACCACACATCTTAACTTTAAAAGTTGGTTCATCGTTGAAATATATTCGCAACTTAAATCCTTCGAAATTTTGCAAAGGAACAAAACTTACTGTTTAATTGAAGCTACTATCATCAGCAGCAAATGTAATGGACCAGAGGTGTTAGTACTTCAAATTCCAATGATTACAACAGATTTTTTATTTGATTTCAAGTTATTACATTGAGCAATCATTCAGTGCTTCTCGCTTTCGTTATAACCATCAACAAGGCTCAAGGTCAATCGTTAAGTATTGCTGGTTTAAACTTAAAAAATTCCTGTTTTTCACACAACCAATTATGTTACTTGCTCCAGAGTTGAAACACCAAAAAATCTTTGTTTATACAACTACCGAAAACTCTCAAAATATTGTTTACTGCTAGCATTAAGATAAAAAAAAGCAAATAAATAAACAAAATTTAATTTTTTTTTCCAACAAATTAACAAAATGTACTAGTTTTTTAAGCGTAATATAACACTACTACGCTAAGAACACTATCCACTATGTCTTATAGTTGATAAAAACAATCTAAATAACTGTATAAAAAATATATGTAGCTTAGTGCTGACCCATAATGGAGTTTCAAATGCGTAAATCCACGGGCATTGAATTCGTCAAAGACGTCGCCGTACAAGATCAGCTAGTGTTATTAATATTTAAGTGCAATAAAATGGTAATTTAAATAAAAATTATATTCCTAAACATTGAACTTAAAGCTATTTTAAACAAATATGTAACTATACATTAGTTAATAAACATAAAAATACATCAGTAGTAAGTCAAGAGTTCAGCTGGGCTCAATTGAAAGTTAACAAAAGTCCAAGTGTCCTATGTGTTTCTTCTCATCTCATTCAATTCGATAAGGACTTCAGCTAAAATCATAAATTCATGTTTATTATTATTATTGCATATAAATATCGGCAATGGCAAAATAATAGCATAATATATTACATAGATTTATCAATTATAGATAACAAAGATTATACACTAGCACATTTATTATCTACACTTCATGGACTGAGTTTTGAAGCATATTTCATAAGACTTATACTGAGCTACATAAATGTTTTCTAAAAAATAAAACGAAGGTATTTTAATGAATGCACTATATTCTATATCAGTGGTCGGGAATCTTTTCCTAGTAAAAAGCCATTTTTTTTTAAAAAGTTACAAAACCATGATGTCAAGAGAGCCTTTTGGATAATCTTTTTTTTTTTTAATTGTAAGTTTTCGTCACAAATGAGACATTTTAATTGTCTCATGATGTTTTGGACAAATGCAAAAGTATCAGTCCACTCCTAAATTCTTCAATTTAATTTGTCCTCTTCAATTTTACGCTTTTTGTTTATAAACATCTCGTTCACAATATTACTATATTTTAATATGGTTAAAAGTTTATAGAAATTAATAATAATATTGTGGGGTCATTATAGATAAAATATTATTTTATTTTTACCTGAAATAAACATCGTTATTAAGAAATTTAGAAATATTATCACTATAATTATTAGGACACGGATGGTTTAGTAGTAAAAAATTAGTAAAATTAATAGCAGTATTGTATTAAAATTTACAGAAAATTACACTTTAAAGAATCTAAAATTGTATTAAAAAAAATAACGTTTCGTTATAATTCCAGTGGCGTATTTTAGGGGGGAAGGGGCGATTCCCCCTGAATCCGTATTTAAGGAATCGATCATATGTGAGATAAACATTTCAAATTTTTTTAATATGAATCATTTTATAACGATACTTAATGTCTATACCAGGGCACCAAAACGTTTTTATAACATTATAAGTATAACTATTCAAAAAGCTGTTGAAATCGATTACAGATAAGGAAACAGAAACGAAAAACGGTTAAAATTAATATCGAATAACATTATAGAAAACGATTAACGATTGAAACATAAAAGAAATTGCTATGGAAAAATATTTATAACTATCAGTAAAATAGATGTAGAACATAGTTATTTTTTTTTTAAATTTACTTTAATTAGTAGGTAATCTAAATAAAATATATAAAAAAAAAAAAGGTGAGTTACGCGAAAAACGTTCAATTTTAGGCAGTTAGCGAAAAACCGCCTAAAATTGAACACCTATGTTTAAATACGTTTATTCACACGAGAAAAACCACACCGCTTCTTGCCGCGTACAACCGCCTCCGACCGCTCATGTTTAATTTTTGAGCGGTCGACCGCGTGCGTTATCGTAGACACTCAAAACTGATACCAAAATTTGTTATATAATTTGTACAAATTTGCAATCACGATTCCAAATTTTTACGCCCACTCAAAAAATTATGAATGCGGGTGCTGGAGTAACGTTACGCTGGCATCCGAAATGAAAAAGTGTTTTTAAACCCTTTAGGGGGGTGTACATATTTTCATAATACGTTTACAAATTTCAAATTTGTACAAATTATATAACAAATTTTGGTACTAGTTTTGAGTAGTTATTTTAACCTGCGGATGCCAGGTATTATATATATAATATAACATTTAAAATATGTAATGTTATTTTACATAGTACTGATTGCTAAATACTACATTTGAAAACGTTTCAAATTGTACACTAATTTAAATAACGCAAAATACTAAATTATTCATAACGTTTTAAATGTCCCATAACGGTAAACAATATATATTATTATGATTTAAGCCCTGATCCAAACTAGGTGAAAAATCAAATAAAACCAAGTGAAACTTTCAAAACACAGATAGGTGTTAAAAAAGAAATACAAAAAAGTTCATTCTAAATGGAACTAAAAGTGGACTAAGTGGATTAAAAAAAATAATAAAAAAAAACACAAATATTAAGGATTCATCTGATTTAAATATTATCAATAATTTTACTTGTAAATTTTGAGCCTGAATTAAAGAAAAAATTTGAGTCGCCCCCTCCCCCTAGAAGTAAGTTTAAGTACGCCACTGTATAATTCATAAAATAACTATTATTTATATACTTTAAAATGTTATTGCATAAATACGTTGCAAATACGCTATTTATTTAATAACTTTTAATGAACTTTTCAATATTTTTTGAGTTAAATATATTATCTTATCTGTACGCATTGTAAATACGACGAATCCAATAATCGCAATATGACGAAACCGGTACGATTTTAAAAATAATCAAATTATCGTTTTGACTATACTTTCAATAATATCAATTAACAATTGTATATTAATATACATCAATACAACATGTACTTTAGACTTAAAATAATTTAACAAATTTATTTCATGACATTTTTATAAAGATGTTTAAAAAGTATTAAAAAAGTGAAATTATGTGAAAAAATTTCGAAAATTGGGAAAAATTGCATTTGAAATTTTTATATTTTCATTCGTACCTACACGAAACGCATTTAAAACTTACTTAACAATAAATTGGTGCAGTAGAATAAAAGTTGCAAATGCAACACCATACTCCGTGCCCTAATAATAACGTATAATAAAATTTATATTTTACATGTCGCGATATTGATGCATTTTCTACAGAGCCACAGATTGCATGTTAAGGAGCAACAGGTTGCCGACCCCTGGTCTATATGATCTATCTAACTAGATATTATTTAATTTTAAGATACAATATCAGTAATATATAAGGTTTTGAAATTCAAAATCTTAAAGAATTTGCTACAAAGAATATTTTTAATTTCATATTAATCTATAAACTTTATAATTAATTTAATTTTACAATTTGGTGACATAATAAATTATAATAGGATTACTGTAAGATCAATTAAAAATTAAAAATTATAAAATAATATTGTAATAATTTGAAAGGATATAATTTGGGACATAAGAGAGAATATTCAAACAACATTAAATGAATAAGCATTACATTATTACAAATACTTCAATTCAAATTTGGTACTCAATGACTACTGATCAACAGTGGCATGTAATACAAAATTATGAAAAAATACAGATTTGATAATAAACCATTTTATTCTAATGTGAATTAAGAAAAAAAAATAGGATTCAACAAAAATTAGATTGCATTATTAATAAAATATGATAATAATTTTACGTCGCTACATAAAACACTGACTGTAATAATGTATCAATATAAAAATTACAATACTCATTAATGAATTTCAACTATTCAAAAAATTAAAATTTACCTATTATTCATAACAAAAGTATTGCAAAAATATTTATAAACTTTATCCAAATTCAAATTAACAACAGCATGCAATAGAAGAAAACAGTATAAAAAATTGAATTAACTACTTATAAAAAATAGAAGTCCAAAATAAAAAAACTTAGTTTTGATTAAAATCAAATTTCTCTTTATGATTTAAACTATAACATTATAAACATTATTATCAAACAAAATCAATTTTACTCAAGTTACACAAGTAACTCAAGTGTACATCATTGACAACATTTTTTTTTTTTTTATATATATAAATTAAAATATATTTTTAATAAAATAAGAAAAAATTGTGTATTATTTTCTCGAATTTGGCATGTCTCAGATAGTCGGATGAAAAAAATAAATAATTAAGTAAATTGGTTAAATAAAAAATTATAATACTTTTTTAATTAAAATTATATAATTTATTATTGTCAGTCTTGGTTATATTTTATAGGGTTAACAAAATATATAAAAAAAAACTTACGTCTAATTAATGATACAAAAGCTGCCATTGAAAATACTGTAGATCACTTTTTCTGTATGAATTATTCTAAGAAAAATTTCATACACATGTAAAAAACTCATCAAAAAACTATTTTACTATTTATTTCTAATCATTATTTTTAAAATGTTGAATAATTAAACATTTGTTGAAAGTTTAATTTTTCAATGTTCCTATTCATTTTAATACAGTATATTAAGTAAAAGTTGACACTAAGAATACTTTATAAAAATTGAAATATACCAACCTTGTCTGAGTATATTGAAACGATTAAGCATACGCACTATTAACGTTGGTGACACAGTAATTGTATCCCTTGATTGTTCCATCATTAATTTATTCTTTTCAACAAGCTGAAATTAAAATATTATGTTAAAAATATATTAAATATTAAATAGAATTCAAAATTCCTAAGTCGAGTGAGACACAAAGATAGCATAATATTGCTGTGTTTATCTTTTAAACTTGAAACCAATGTACAAATGAAGATCACGGAGCAACAACCAGACATCTCCATTTTTTTAACAAAATCGTTTTTTCAACTTTTATTATTACAAAAAATATATTGGCTCAACAATCAGACAATTGATCATTGAATACAGAGATATTGTACAAATGGAGATGACTGGTTTTTTTATTAAGGCGCAACAACAAGATATCTCTGAAGATGTCTGGTTGTTGCATCGTATAATGGTACCACTCAGAAGCGTACCCAGGAATTTTTTATGGGGGGGGGGCAAAATTTTTATTTTATCTGTTCTCTAATTATAATTATAATTTAACTCAATACCAAAAAATTACTGTTAATCTACTATAGTATGGATCATATATTATAGGTATATTATATAATCTATAAACTTTGTATATTGAAGATAATGGTTATTTAAAATACACTATGTTCTATTATTATACTATTTACTATTAAATCATTGAGTATGTAGAAATTTCAATGAGGAGGGGGGATCAAGACCCGACCCCCTCCCTTGAGTACGCCCTTGGTACCATTACATACATTATTTTTAATATTTTATACAAAGAAAATATTAATATTATATATAGTTTGTGACTGAGATTATGTTATTTTTAATTTTGTTTTATAATTAATTGAATTTCAATATTAAATACAGAGAGTTTAATGATATAATTTATTTCTTACAAAGTAAATATTTAATATATTGATTTAAAAAATTAAAGCTTTAAAAGTTTTGTAAAGAATAATATTACATGAACTAAATCTCATTAATTTTTTTTTTATATGTATAGCCCCTCTTCCGAATTTTTTTTTTACTACACTCCTGTCAAAGATAAAGTATTGGGGACAAAATCCCTCTCCAAAATATGCAGTGTTTACTATACTAGTAGTTTGGATTTTCCATCTTTTAAGATCTTTTTATTTTTTTCACATGTATAACTCCCCCCCTCCTTCCTCAATAAAAAATAATTTTGTTTCACTACATTTCTGAAAGTAAATAATTATATAATATATAATTTATACAATGTTATACGTAAGAACACTTTTTTCATATTAATTACATTATTTTTATACACTATAAGTAAAAACATAATTTTACAGTTCAGTAACAAGACATCTCCAAGCCATTATTTAATTTCTTTTTATGAAATAAATTATAATTATTCTCAAGTTATTTGAATATATTTTTTGTAAATTTTTAAAACCGTTTTTTGTTGCTTCTCAAAAATTGGAAAAAGTGGAGATGTCTTGTTGTTGCTTCGTGGTCTTCAATTGTTCTTTAAAAAAGGATTTTGAATGAAAGAATCATCGGGTAGATCAATTAATATTTCCAAAGATAGTTGATAAAATAGTAGAATTAAATTTCTTAGTACGTAAAGTTAAACTTTTAATATTCTAACTTTCCCCAAAATAAAAAAGCATCTAAAATTTGAGGAAAAAAAATGTCAAGTGTCTAATAAAAATGCAGCACAAATTTTATTAAAATATCTTCAAACTTGTTTTATAACTTTTCATCAGTTTTTCGAAATTATTTATAAAACTGCTGAAAAATTGAAAAGACTATTAATAAGAATACATTTCCTATCTTTAACTCTTAATTTGGTCATAATCAGAGCAATCCTTCTATTCGAAATCATGTACATAAACCCAAAAAATAAATATATATATATATATACATGGTAAGATCAATACATTCCTCGTTTCACTAATTTAAAATCAAATATACCCAATTAAATATGAACTTTCCAAAACGAAATGCTATAATGTAAAAATTAAAATCTTTTTTAATCTATATTTGTAATTGGAATTTGTTAATTATTCTGTGAACATGAACTTGTCTATCACTGATCTTGACATTTTTTCTTTTAAATAAAAACTAGTATATCTTTACACTAAACCAAAATAGAAACATTAAATACCGATAATAATAAAAATATGTGTGACTTGTTGATGAGAAACTATTCAACAATAGCAACTCTAATTTATAGCTTGACCTCAGATTTTAATTCCATATTACCAGAAAGAGTATAACATTTATGATTATTTGATAAGTTGCAATCATGTTTTTTAGAGATATTTAATGGGATATTATAGAATTTGATTATCATACACTTTGACACATATTTGATTCGAAAAATTGAATTTTACATTCAACAAAAAAAGAAGAATACAATTACCATACACAATAGGTTGATACATTATTTAAATGTTATTTTATATTCATTAATATTAGAACATAATCCTATATACATTTCAAGTATAACATTTTATAAGCAATTTTTTTACCTCATTCGCCATTTCTTGAGAGAACCCAATATCTGGAAGTCTTGGGCTCCAAAGCTTAACATCATGATCAACACCAGACGTTGCTAGTAAAGGCAAGCTAGGATGTGGCTGAATACAATTAACTACATGATTATCACCCCTCAATAACATTACTATTTCACATGTATAACGATCCCATATAAACACATGTCCACAATCACTACCAGATATAATGAAGTCATTGCCCCAGAATGATGCTTCTTTAATTAAAGTTCTGTAAAGTAATTAATGATAATATTAATATTACCTTACAACTAAACGTTTTAAAGTTATAGCATTTATTTTTGAATACCTAGAATTCCGATGACCTTTGTATTGTGCTTTAACAGGCTGAAGTGGAACAAAATCATTAAACCCTGGGCATCGTTCATTTAATTTTAATTTTTTTCTTTTTTCAGTTTCTTGCCCACTGTCAGTTGAAGTGGATGGTTCGACATTATTGGCATCCAAATTTGAACTATAACCATAAAAAATTACTTATAAAATATTCATTAATTCACACAAAAGATCCAAAAATACTCAATTTTAAAAAAAGTACTCAATATTGAAGAAAATTGTTACTATTAATTTTTTATAATATTTGTTAGAGTACTAAATTCTATAATTTAAAAATTATTTATTTTCCATTTATTACACATCCAATACAACATTTAATTTAAATATCATTTATTTTTGAACAAATAACCCACAAAATTATTGATAAATTATCACTTAAAAGTTTAAGTGTAATATAAAATTATGAAATAAAATAGAAATAAATATTTTTCCTGTTTAAATTAGGATAGATGTTGGTAACAAATCATGTATTGTATTCATTATTTGATTTTTTGACTCAAGTGTTTTCTATAAATAAATAAATAATAAATAAAGTGTCATTAAAACTTACTTTTCATTGTTAGGTCCATTGATTTGTACACTATCTAGTGTTTGTCTTGTAAGTCGAGAATATAATGGCCTCCCTAAAATATTATCAATAAATTAAAAATATAATGAAATTATAAAATATTCCTTTACAGTTATGCATTATAGCAGAACGCAATGATGGCGTGTTTAATATCTGAACCAGAATATCACTCATCTGTCCCATTACTATAGACTGGATTCTATCTCTTTCAGTATCTACAAAAAAAAAATATATATATATAGTTAAAATATCACATTTAAATTATTTACAAATTAAACTAATGAAAAATGTAGTGATGAACTAAACAAATATAATATTTTTATTTAGAGCATTAAACACATTAGAAGAAATGTGATTAAGTAAAAAAATTATAATATCAGATAAGTGTGATGATTACCAAAAATGAATAGAATAATACTGGTATAGCAATAATAGGTGATCTGCAGAAAAATTTTGTACCCAATATTATAATAGTAAAAGATAAAAAATAAAAAAATAAAATAAAAAGGTTAATAAAGAAGGGAATAATCATCCAAAAAATGATAAACGATTAGTAGAACATGAAAAATTGGTTAAAAGGTAATACAGGATGGAATTTTATGAACAACTTTTATATTAAATAAAGACCTGATGGAGGACAAATTTAATAGAATAAAGTAAAAATAATCACCAACTAAATAGTTTAAGAAATAACAAAATAAGTGAGATACAGAAACAATAGTTAAATTAGTAAGATTTTTGTGAACATTTTAATTGAAACAAAAATAAATTCATTAAAAAAAAATCGAATTAATACAATTTTTCAATTTGGCTATTTTGTTTGATTAATATTCAAGTTTAACTTTTGAAAACTTATAAAAAATCAAAATATAAATTTATGTTTTGTATAGGTAACTTGTTATTTTTAATAAATCATACCAACAGAAGGCTCAGATAGTGGTCCAGTATCTGTCCAGTCACCTCTCAATCTTATTCGTCTATATGGTGGTGGGTATGGTGGATTTTCCAAATAGTCATTTGCAACTGCAGTTATATTAGGATCTTTATCAGTGCTAAACATATAAATATCTTCATCAGAATAGTTGGCAAGTATATTTCTACCATCAGATGAATATGAAAGTGATGTTATACGATAGGAACGATGACTTAAATGAGGAACAGTAAAAGCACATTCAGGAACAATTTTATCAGTTGGATCTGAAAAAAAAAATAAGCACTTATTAATAACAATTTAGTATAGCTCTCTATTTACATTAAATAAAAAGTAAATAAGAAACAATTCCTTTAAATATTCATAATAGTTAATAATGTTGTTACCTCATAAATTGATGTTTGTAAAAGAAGTTAAATTTAAATGGTTACATAACAATTTAGCTTTAACCTTTTATTAGAATGGATATGCTTAGCACAGGTAAGTCTGCAACCCAAAGTTAGCCCAATGTATTTAATTGTGGGTGAGCTATATCCGAATATGGATACTGTTAGGCAAAATGTAAGTCGTAGGATAAATGTAGTATCTATGGATTTGAATTATTTTAAGCCTCTATTTGGTGTACCATTCTTTCGTAAGAGTAGGATGGTTCTGAAGATGTGATGAGGCAATAGAAGAGTCGAAATGTGTGGATATGGTGACCTTCCAATTTTCACGGTCAGTTGATCAGAGGTATATAAATTATACAGTATAGAGAATAGAATTCTATCTAGGGAAAATGCAGCAGAGATACTAGCTATACTAGAAAATTCTTCACCATAGCAGATGCTTATGTGACAATAAGAGATATATCATTTAATAATAAGGAAATAAACTCTAAGAATTTTTTTATATGAATAAGAACCCGTTGTGCCACACTCTGTCAAATGTGTTGAGTGGAATCGGTTTATAAGTAGATACAGACACGTTTAGGTTAAATTAATAAACAATTTAATATCGTGAATAATAAAATGTTACACAACGCACTTCGTACAACGGCAACTGGTCGCATGTCTCGACAGACTGCCTCCGTATATCTGTGTTACAATATTTGTATATATGCCACACTCGACATAGAGAATGTGCCATCTCAACATTAATCGCTGACTATACTAATGTATATATATATACTTAAAACTACAGTATGAATATAAACTAATACATACTAAATATACTGGGTGTATTGTTTAATTTCAACAAAATGCCTGTGATATATCTAGAAAAACACAAGTGTACTAATACTTTTTTTTTAGAGCAAAATAAATAACATCTAAGACTCTAAGCATTTGATGTACTATTGAGTGATAATTATTAAACACCAAACAAAGAGTTGCATTTTCAGTAAGGCTAAATAAGATTCATAGTAGCAAGAGTAAAATAAACATTCTTGAATGATTGAAAAATTCAACAAATAAATTACCTTCTTAAATAGCATTAAAATATAAATGGAATAAATATATATAGAAATCTAAATGTACAAAATAATATTCAATTTTTCTAGGAAATATATTATGCTAATCAATCTAATTCTCCTTGTTCATAGTTGCAGAATATGCAATAAATTGAGTTATTATTTGAATTCATGGAGACTCATTTTTTGACTCTTCAATTTTACCTCAAGTAATTCTTAATAGGGTAAATCAAAGGACAAAATTATTGAAAGTAATGTACGTATTACACAAATTATAACTATATATTTTGTTCACTCTGATTAATTCGGAGGCCGGTAAATACGTGAGCTCATCTGTAAACGTCCATATCAAATGTTGTTTGGACTCAATTAACGGACTCATTAGATTAGTTTACCGTGAGTTATAGTGATTAATGTCTTTTTCTGTATTTTTGTATTATTGGTCGTTTTTGTTATTTGCATATTATTACAAAGTCGTTGTGTTCGTACCGTCGTGGCGAATACATCTCAGTTTTTTTTCTTGTGTTTTTGATGGTCGCAATTGTTGCACCAAATTATTATAATTTTATTTTTCGCTATTGCAGCAACATATTTGTTTTTCTTTGCGTATTGTTATTAATTATTATTGTTATTTATTATTCTCGCCATTGTGGTATATCACATTTTATTATTAAATTAAAAACACTAAGCAACTTCAGTTACCAACACCCATTTTGTACAACGTGGTTTTGTTTGTGTATATGGTTGGATTTTCGTCCTGAGTAGTTGTCAACTTTTCGATCGCACGTACGCGGGTTCAAATTGTATTTTTATTGTATCTATTTTATTATTACGGAACCCGGTACGGTAGCGTCGGTGTAAAACCAATCGAACGTCACAACTACTACATGAGTAACCCCGCCATATGTAACATTATTATATTATATTGATTTGATTTATTGTATTATCGAGTTTTTGTTAATTTTTCTAAATAATTATGTATTGTGCCACGATGGGCAATTGAATTATTATTTATTTATATTTTATTGTATTAGTGTATTTTATTGTTCTATTATAAATGTATGCTGTTCAACCAGGCAATTAAATTATATTATTTTTATATTTATTTTCATTATATTCGATAAAACCCAATCATATTTTGTGGACAAACAATTAGCTGACGAGAGAAGTAAGAAGGCAATGCTATTTTCATAATTAATTAATTTTTCTTCTCAATTGTCATACGGTAGTTGATATTATAATAGGCAAAATTAAGGTTTTACTACTTACCTTGTAAGATAATTTTTCTTCGATCAACCACTCTTACAGTACTATCTAAAGTGGCAATTGCAAGTTCGTAAGGATTTTTGGGATTTACCGCAATAGTAGAAACTGGTGTATCGCAATTGATCAATATATGCTATTTAAAAAGAGTATGTTTAGTAGGTAATAAATACATAGATAAAAATAATTATTTAATTTACATCTCTGCATTTGTATCTAGAACACAAATTACTAGCTCTCAAATCATAAAGGCGAACAGTACCGTCTTCACTACAGCTAAGAAATGTGTTAGGGTCACCAGGTATTGTTTCTATTTCATAACATGGAGTTTCGTGACAGGTAAAAAAATTCCACTCTGTTTCTTTCTGTCTTTCCAAATCTAACATATAAATACAAATATAATAAATATATTTAAAATTTGATCTATATATATATGTTACCGGCAATATGGACAATCCGATATTTTGCAAAATGCCTAGGCATTATATAAAATGCCAAAAATCACTCGAAAATATACATAATACGAGCTTTACCTAGGTATTATGTAAAATGCCAAACGTGAAGTAGGCAATATGATGCAAACAAATAAAACTGGGCATCGTGTATTACCAATGACTTTACTTATCATTTATCATAAATGTGCATGCACAATTTAACACAATAAAGATTAATATTCTTTTACTACTATAATAATAATTCTGAGGTGCAATATTGAACGTACTAATAATTTTATTGCAATATAGTCATTTTCGTGTCTCGTTATGGTGTTGTAATATTATGCATACGATTTATATGAAGTCAAATTTTTATAACTGCAGACATTTTTTTAAAAATTTGCACATTAATATTAGTTTTTTATCTGACGAACATTATAACGAGTTGATAAAAATTCAATCCACAAGAATTGGCCAAGGATTTTTAAAATGTGTTTGTAAGTCCAAGTGTCAAAATAATAAATGTATTTTCCTTAAAAATAACATTTAGTGCACTTTAAAATGTCACTTTTCTAAAACATGTTATAATAAGTAAATAGTAGTTTAAGTAAAATATTTATATAATAGTAATAATATATTAATAGATAAAAATTAAATTTTGTCTGTAATATGAGTAATAATGTATAATAATTATTAGAATCTTAATGTAATATAACAAATAATAAAATGTTTTGTACTTTGCATAACACCTAGGTATTTAATAAAATATCTAAATTATATGTAAAATAATATTGAAAAATCGTGTTGTATTTGCATTGCCTAAAATGGGTCAGTAATTTGCATAATACCTAGGTATTTTGCAAAATACCTGAATTATCCATATTGCCGGTAACATAATATGTTACTAGTGATTCATATATTATAAGAATCACTAAATGCAAGAAGGGCACGTGTTTAAAATTTTCTTAAAATTACATTTTTACAGATTTTTGTTTAGATTCAACAATTACACCGTTCTGTGCAAACGGGACACATGTCCAGTTTACTGGTATATTATAAAATGATCATATTTTGTATTAAATGCAAAAACGGCGTATGTTCTAGACATGTGACCTTTTTTGTCTCTTCTGAAAAATTATAAAATGTGGACATGTGCCTTTCTTGCATTTAGTGATTCATATATTGATTAAATTATAAATAAAATTCATATATACTTACCAAGATTGAGAATAGAACCATCGGCACCACATGAAATAATACGATTATCCATAGTAGGTAAAAATTTTGCACAGAAAATATTGGTTTGATGTCTTGTTTTGTAATCAACAACATTTTTGTGAGTGAATGGATTAATAATCACAATACGTCTATCATCTCCAGCCGAAAGCAATAAATTTCCAGTATCATTCCATTGCAAAGAATTAACACAACGCCGTTGTTTAACAGTTTGTTCTAAGGTTAATCGTTGTACTAGATGTTTATTATCTGAAAACAAAAACGTTAAAAAAGTTAATGACAATTATAAATCAGCAATTTTAACTTTTTTAGTTGCACATACCACTAATTTTGTAAAAATAAATTTGAGATGTACTTACATAATATTCAGATAAAAAAACACATACAAATAGATAATATGCATATAACTTATTTATATATAATTTATACATATATAAATGGGAAATACTCTATACAAGAAAAATTAAAAAATTAAATAAATTTATAAAGTAATTAAGTTTATTATATTAAACTTAAAACAAGTGTTAAAAGTAAATAATAATAATAAATATTCACAAACAACATAAATTACTAAAATACTAAATAATAGAACCAAATTTAATACAATTATGTGATAGCTTTAATTGTGGGTTATTTATTAAATATTACCCCTAATATCCTAGTAATATCTAACCAATAAATTTAAATTAAAAATAAAAAAATTTAGATATAATTAAATAGATAAAATAAGATAAATAGATTAAATAATTTAAATACATTTCTAAACAGACTTTCATAAAATCAAAAAACTGTTGATGCTAATCGGTACAAATCAAAATTTACCAACCCTTAGCTTCAATCAGCGATTCCCAAACTTTTTCAGCCACGAAACATTTTTTTAAGCAGTATTTTCTCGTAGAGCCCCAAGAAATATTTACTATTAAGTTTTATTTGCCTGTGTTCTGCAAAGCATATTACACATGATATGTATTCATATAGGAGGAAACTCAAAACGAGATAATGTACATTTAATATTATATTTATATACAATATATCTGACCAGGAAATAACTGGGATGCGAATGCATACTATCTAAGATTGAAAAATTATAATTTCCTATCAGGATTTTAATATTGTTTGTAAACATATCGGTGAATTATATTTGAGTGACAGTCTTGTAAATATACATGCTCGCTTGTTGTTTTAAATAACGATCAATAATTGTTACGTTTTTAAATTTTCTATGATAATAGAATTATATTATAATTCTCCATAGCTTTTTAGAAACAATTGTGAAACCCTAAGAGCTCTGTAAAACACAGTTTGAGAACCTTAGGCTATAGATTAGCTTCTGCAACCCAGTACTACATTGCCCATTAGTTGGGAATCGTTGTTATAAATAATCACACCAAAAATGCATATAAAATAATATAATTGGTATTCAATATCTTATTTGATAGAATTTTTACTCAGAACTTAAAATGTGATCAACCTATATAAATTATGTAGATATAAATTAACAATGTATATAATATACTAAAAAAAAAAAAATAGAATAAAATTGACATTTAATATTTTTAATATAATTAAGTTATACTAATCTAAACCTAAGTGTATATTTATTTTATACATTTTAACTAGTACATCGAATGTTTACAACCTCGGGTCTATTAGTACTTAATGGCAGATGATGAATATTCATATTTATCTTTCTAATTCATTTAAACAGTGCATTTTAAGATATTTAATTTATGAAAAATTAAAAGAAATTAATTTTTATCTTGTTCTGTAGTTATTTATTATATCTTAAAATGTTTATATTTTATAAATACATTTTAAATTATAATAATATTATTACTATTTGGTTAAAATATTGTTAAAAATGTTGTTCTGTGAATCAAATAATAATGAAATTATTAATTTGAAAATATTAAAAAAAAAATGTCTAAGTTGTTAGTAGATACTTAACAATTGGAACATACTACTCATTAATTAATGATAATAATAATGTAAGAAAATACAATTGATTTCTAATAATTCTTATTCATAAAATTTATGTAAACTGAAGTCTTAAGATGTAATTTACCAATAAACCTAAATATAATAAATATAAATAAATATAATGAAACCTAAATATAAGTTTTGTTTGAGTATTGAAGTATGATTATTAGGACCCGGAATTATATGCACTAAAAACATACAAAATATGCATGCATTTATGCCATGGTTATCATTCAAATATGCACTCAAAATATACAAACAAAAATGCATGTTTATTATTTATTAAAAATGTATTTAATTTTAAAATGTATACAATTCATTAAATAATTAATAATCAACAAAAAAAATATACTTTAAAATATATCAACTGTATTTTATATATATTATTGAACTGTATGGAACTATATGTTGTATTGAAATTAAATTGTATTTTGAACACTCACTGATCTAAACAAAAAATCACAAACGAAAATCAATTTAAATAAATCAAGCAGATTTTTATAATATTTTTAAAATTACTTGGAGAGTTACTATAGTATTAGTACTTTTAGCAAACTTTATCTTATCTTATTATAACACAAAAATCAAATTATATAACTGCACGATTCACAGGATTTACGATGGACATATGCTAATAAATAATATTAATAACTCCATATTTTTTTCTATATATGCATTATATTTCAGAAAAGTGATAAAATATGCATAATAATTTGAAATGTTCCAAATATGCAAAAATATGCTAAATTTAATTTTGCATACCAACACATTAGATTAAGATTCAAATTTCTATCTTACCTAGTTACTTTTTAGTTAAGTATATAAAAATATGCAAATGCATACAATTCCAGGCCCTAGTGATTATGAAAAGGTCTTCTTAATTAATAATACAGAGGCATTCACATTTTGGGCTTATATACAGCTTTAGTACATCTAGAAGTTGGGTACTTTCTTTATAAAACAACCTTCTTATATTTATCTACCAGACCGGGCTCAAACGTTTACTTACACCTAGACAAACTTAAGTGTTGCAACCCCTTGCATGTAAATACTACTTCAGATATTATTCTTACATAAACAATACTAAAATAGACTTAATTCTGAGTTCATTATATTTATTTGTGTAAAGTTAATCATTTTTTAGATCAATACATTTGTAGACAAGTAAACCTAACGACTAATTTAAATAAAAACAAAACGGTTTTTTGAGTCTTATTTTTTAACACACATAATTTGATATCAGTAGGTACTTTTAAATCTAATACTTTTTTTAAAATCATCCATAGTTTAAAAATACTAAATCTCGCCCTAGGTATGGGCTTATGTCGCCTAACCCTTGAGCCGAGCCTGTTATCAACTTTATTTTCCAAAAAAAATAATTAAAATTATAAGTTGTCATGTCAGCATATAATAAGAATCATTATATATGTAAATTTACATTTAGTTTCATTGAGTCATATAAAAGTTACTATAGATAGAAGGGTAGGTAGTCATCAAAAATATTATGAAATACTTTTATGAAAACTCATAAAGTATGCTCATAGATGGAATTAACATTTGAACAAGGAGGATTTGAGCTCCAAGTTTTTTTTAACTTGTCAACAAACCTCCACCCTCCCCCATTTAACTAACCATTATTCACCAGCATAATACAATCATTAAAATATAAAAATCTCTTAAAGAATTCATTTTTGTTACATAAAATTTTATTTATTATGATTTTATAAATCATAAAGTATATAATTATATTTTATGTTAAATTTAAGTGACAATCAACTTTGGAATATTTGTCAATTACAATATCTTGATCAAGATTATCAGCAATATCTCTCTCAATATACAATAGTGAAAGATTATTATAGGCGTGTGCAAAGGGGCAGCAAGGTGTACTCTTATTGCCCCTGGACAGTTTGAATATATTTGTAAGGGCCGAACTGGTCCAAGCTGGGCTGTCACACTGGTAATGCTCAATACAAAATAAGTTGGTTATCCAAAAAGTGTATTACTACCAAGCAAATTTTTTCTGTGTTCAAACTTTAATTAGGCTTTGAAGCTTAAATTTGAGCTTAAAAATGTTAACTTAGTACTCATGAATACGGCCGATAACTGTATTGCACAATTATTCTGATATTAGCTTATTAAGTATTCAGTATTACTAAAAAAAAAAAAATGTAAGCTCAAAAATAAACATGTTTGGATCTCATGACTATTTTTAAACATGGCAAAAAAATGAATATAATCCTTTAAGAAGCTGCAAATTTTAGCAGTATCAGTAGATCAAAGGGATTCCAAAAATTCAACTGGTAATTATTGAAAAATTAGTTTGTATACTAATATGAAATATGCAATACTTAATGTTTTGGTAATTTACTATATAAAAACAAATTTCAATAATAAAAATTTATTTATTAAATTTATTATTTTACATTACCTAAAGAGCATCAATAATTTATAATAATGCCAATCTAATATTGATATAATTTAATATAAATATATATTGACAAGGTAATATTACTAACGAATATATATAATCTCGTTATTGACTAAGCATTTTGACATCTATTATCAATTTTGATAATATTTATTATATAACATCGATAATCATTAAATATAATTTTTTAAAGTAGCAATTTATTACTGATTCAAAGGTTTACAATTATGAAATACTACTAACAAAATAATAATAATATATATTTTAATTTAGCATTATGCTTCTTAGTTATTATAAATATAAGAATGAAAAAATTCAAACTCATTAGTTACAATTTTTTTAAAAAATATATTTCCTATCAAAATGTTAATCATAACAAGTAACTTTTATTCTATTGCCTGTTTAGATTCAAGATTGACCTTTTCAATTTGTAATGACTATCAAATTCAGATCAATATATTTGACTTTTTTTTAATACTTAAGCCATTTTAAGTGAGCCAAGATATCCTTAAAATAATTAGTAGCGTTTCATAAATAACTAGGGATTTCATTGCATCGAAATTTATTCAACATAAATATAGCAAATATACTTCAAACTATCAAGACCAAATTGTACTTCATGTAACTAACATGCAGAGTGGTGTTTTAGAGGATTAACGGCAAATACCTCCTAAAAATTAACAATTGTATGCAAATACAAAACCATGGCTTTATGAATGGATATGACCAGGGCCAACAGATTACTAGATTTAAGTACGAACAAATGCCCACACCCATATCTCATTTCTGTTATTTTTTTTTTTTTACAATCTGCTACATTAAGGTTGATCTTCATAAGACTTATTTGATTCGAACGGCTCTATGGCTGCATCAATCAAAATACGAATCGATTGGCACGTGTAGAATCATATTATAGTTTGGTGCGCATCATGACGTCAGAGTGGACAAAGAGCACAAAACACACAAACAACGCAAAATGCGTAGCTACCGGACGTCGTCATCTCCTCACCTTTGGCAGCGACTCGTATTCCCACGTTGTTCTGATCATTGTATGGCTGGAAGAACACGTTCCGGAACAGGCCTTTGGTGGGAAACATCGCGTGAGGCGCCGATGGCGGACAACAGGGAAGGATATCACCAAGTACGTCGTCCTGCGCTCTCGCAGCCACTAGAGGTGTTTTTTCATACGACTTATAAACGGACTACGAGCCGCAACAACAAACGGTGATGGACAATAATGGATCGGTGCCAGCTAGCTTTAAATAACTCTCCTCCACACGAAAATAACAACGGGTCGGGAAAACAGAATATTCGATGAAACTGTTCCATCAAACTATGCGATGCAACGTCGCTGTCGAATCGTATAAGCGGATTCGTGGTCATCAACGTTTTTTAAAGATCATTGTCTCATCATGTTAACGATGATGTTTTAGATAGTACGAATAATGGCAGCGATTACAAAATAATATCAGATATCGCGGCGGCGGCGACAGAGCAATCGCTACACAGATAACGTCATTCATTTATGCGACAAAACGTCATGTGCTGCACGCGGAAGAGAACGCTGTCGCGATGTTATCACTTCGCCCAGATACCAGGTAACCAGTGACGTGCCACGGTCAGCTGTTGCTGTTGCACCGATGGCTTCGGGGACCGCTGACAACAACAACGACGACCGTATCGTTGAAGGTCAACCGACAAAGCGAATGGCCGGTCTACAGCTGCAGCAGCTGCTGCTCCGCGTCCAAGCTCTACCGCTTTGTCCCCGCGCGCGCAAGCGCGCCGACACCATCGTCCCACCCTGTACCTCATCACTGCCTACGTTCAATCGGTTCGTGTTGCCCGGCGGCCCGTTCCGTTCGTCAACCGATCGTCGTCACATCGCAGTCTGTGGTTTCGCCAGTCAGTTGGGTTTTTGTTTCCGTCGAGTTGTGACTGCATTTCTTGAGTTTCTCTCACGGACCCGTTGTTACAGCACGACCAACACGCACAGTATTTCCGGGCAGTGTAGAACGACGCAGGGAAAAATTGTAAACAATACTGTTTGTGTACATCTCCCGCGTTTCTCATGCTCGTAGTAGACCGTGCGCGTGCCGTGATCTCTTGGTTTCCCGTGTTCTCATCGAGTCGTAGTCAGTAACATCGCGAACGGTGACAGCCCAGCGATCGGTATACCCGTACACCTACACCACTGTTGTAGCTACCGGTGACCCGCACAATCGGTTTTCTGACGCTCTTGTTCCGTGAGAACGCCACCTCAAACCCGTTTCTTTTACCCCGTGTTCTGCGTGCGCGTTTAGTAGACACACGTAAACACGGCTCATCGAACGCGTGCCTCGAGGTTGGTGACGACATGCCATCGTATTAGGTCCGACGAAAACGGATCCAATATGAATGACATTGATACGATCGCCACCACGGTGTTCTACTTCGCCAGAGACGGACAGCTGAAGAAATTGCAGGTAAGCCTCCACATGCACGTGAATGCTGCCCCCCCCCCCCCAAATAGATTTTGGTCGTAATGGTAAAAACGAGTTAGGTCAAGATGAATAGCTGTCTCATAATTTTTCTGTATGAATAACATTAATGCGAACACTGTTGCTGGTTAACGAGCCCTGCACATTTATGTATTCTCCAGGCAAGGAGTCCAGTCCTTTAAAGATCTGAGCTCTATAGTTTTTTTGCTCCCTATGTGCCCTAATATTGTTAAGGCTTATGTATAAAGAAGTATTTTTTAAATTCCATCATTTCATTTTTAGTAAAACATTTGATTTTTAGTACTTACTACTATTTTAAACTTTCTCGTCAGCATTCTGAAACTAGAATAATTGAACGTCAAGTTCTCACATATATTTAGTACTACGCGCAATTCAGATTTCATTGTCCATCGTGGTACCCAATTTAACAATTTGTTGTTAACTATTGTAATATACCTGATTAGAAAGTTTTTTAATAGGTACATAAGCAGTTTTAAATTTTACATATAATAATTATTTAAATTTATCTTTGAGTTTTTAATGTCATTTTTGTATTACATAAGATATAAACATAGTTTCAAAATTAATTTGAATAACTATTTATTTACCTAAATGTATTACAGATTTTTTATTAAGTATGTGTCAAAAGTTATGATTCAAGCAATTTAAATTTAATAATAAGTATAAAGTTATAGCATTATATGGTTTTCTATTTTCAAGATATTTAGCTTGTCTAAGCTTGTAATTGTATTTTTATTTTATTTTAAAAAAAGAAATAACTAACTTTTTATTTAATTTAAATCAACTGGTTGACCAAGTTTAGGTAAGTACTTCATTGAGAAAAAAAAATTTAAAGAAAACAAAGTACTATTGTCAGTAATTGTGAATAGGTACATTGTTTAATGACATTAAATTAAAATGTACACACTAGATATTTCACTTTGTTACGTGTTCTAATTATATTTATCCAACATATTTTTTTACTCTATAATCCTTTTGTTAGTATTAATGTCTTAAATTAATTATTAATTATAACACATTTGAAGAAACATCTGTTTATTATCATATTTTAATCTGTTATTTTGGTCTTCTTCAAACATTGCCCTTCCTATTTGTACACGAGATAATTTACTCAGTATAACATGAATAGACTATTAAAAAAAAACTCTTAAATCACTTATGTATATATTTATTATGTAATTTATTTGTGTAGTATATAATATTTTTTTTAGTTATTTTAATTGATTTTGTTTTGTTTAAAATGTATCTAAACTAACACGTTAAGTATAAAATATTCAAAAATACATTAGGTAAATTGTATAAACTCCAAATGATATATAAACCAGAATTAAAAATTGTAATACTTTTTTGTTAACTTAACAGATTATTAATGGATTACAATCTCATATTATTATTTTGCATGCATTTATTTTACTGGTAATAAATATCAAATATCGAATTAAATATCAATTCTGGCAACATTGACAGTTTAACATAGAATGCGCCTTTCTCATTTTGATGTATGTATTGATAATGTTAACAATGTAAACATCCAATGACCTTAGTATTTTATTTTATTTTTAGTAGACAATTTAGAAAAACATGTACTTAACAATAAATCAAATTGACTATAGTAATGAATTGAAATAAACTGTTTCATTTCAAATATTTAATCTCTATGGTCATTAATATTTTTATAAACATTTTTTTTTTCTAACTGAACATCCACTTCTGGGAATAAAAACGATTTCACTAGTAAATAATTTATTATAATAATATTATCACATTGACGACTATTGATTCTATTATCTATTTTGAGTATTAGTAGTTACCCACGATGAAATCCACACATAAGTGTAACACATTATAACAATAATATCCATATTTTATACTTAAGCTTATAGCATTCTTGCGCTTTATAATAAATGTTTATTGAACAACAAAAATCATATCAACATCATGTCTATCCCTCGCACACTTTGTCAACATTATGTTTTCAATTGATTGATTCGTAAATAAATGTCAGATATTTGATTAAAAAGAAAAAAAAAACTGTTCCAATTTTATAACAGAAATTATTTCCTCTTGAATCAGTCAAATTCCTCGAGTGGTAGAAAGAAGATAAAACCTATTCATAACTTTTTTTTTCTCACTGGATTTTATTATTTATTGAGAAATTCGATGACTAACATGTCGAACAGGCGTGTACCCGGTTGCAGAATAACTAAAAATATGTCATCTTGCGGAGAAGAGTAATTTAATGAATTTGTGACCAGACGCGCTACTCAAATTTTGTACTCCAAACTACCGTAGGTTTACTTTTTACCATTTGCTAGTGATGTCAATTATTCAAATTTTGTGTTGTTTTATTATATCATATTATAGTTCGAATTTGTACATTTAAATTTTTTTCAATACATGTTCTTAAGTCATTAGTCAGTTTTTATTATTTTCTCGGTCCTTCAGTTGTGGAACGAAAAAAAACACCATCGTTATCTGTCTAACGGCTAGCGAACTCTGGACCCTTCCGTTTATGCTAGTAAAATAAATGGGCATACGTAAACTGTGCTCAAATGATCTTTTTTTTTTTTGTAAACTGCGCCTGAATTTTTATCTATGTTAAAAAGCTATAGTGTAAACTGTGCCCAAATTTTTATCTATGTTAAAAAGGTATAATGTAAACTGCACCCGACTTATTAACTTATTAAGTTTTGACTTATTGAAGTCTCTATGTATGTCGCTTTTATTTAGTACAGTCTTGGAATAGAAGTATCCAACAATATGGTTTAAGTAATGACTATAAAAATTAAAATAGTGATATTAGAGTATAGTTAGTCCAATGTTATGGTTTACCATTTCTAATTCCAGGAAGTGTATCTGAGTATTTTGTCAATTATTTAATGAAATCAAAGCCTGACGACGAAAAAGTGATACGATTTGCGGATTATTTGGTAAACGTAATTATAAGTAAAGAAGCTCAGTATTCACCTAAAGTATGAACTCAAGCATCAGCAGAGCCAACTTTAACCACAAATGCGTTCGAGTCTTTTCATTTTCACTTTAATTCCAGCTTTTATACAACTGTACCAAATATTTTCATGTTCATAGAAAAGTTAAAAAAAATTCAAATAGAAGTATACATTAAACTAAATAGTTTAAACCAAGCGTTTAAATTCTAAAACTCTAAAACAAAAACAAAAAAACGCAAAAACTTAGAAAATTTAATTAATAAATATAAAAGTGGTCAAATTCATATTGAGGAATATATATCCACCATATATAATTATTTGTAATATTTGTATTTAATTTGCTTTTTAAAAATTTTAATTATTTTTTAATTATTCATATTATATGGCTATAACGAATTAAGTATTTTACCTGGAATTTTACCCGGGCGCAGTTTACAATCATTGAAATAAATTGCACATTTTTTGACTTTATGTTCAATATTTCACGAAGTCAATGTTTCCTTCGATTTTAATGAAATCATATATATTATACTATCAAAATAATTGCTATTATTTTATTTGTTATCTCTTGTCGACGAAATTACAGTATTCGAATGAGGTATGTAGTTTATAATCCTATCCATTATTTAATAAAGACAACGGATTTTTTATTTTATTTTTTCCTCCGCTACATTGCGCAATTTGGAAACTAAGAATTTTGGTGGTCGCGTTTTGCGTAGAACGAAATTTCGTTGTCCGCTGTGTCGATAAGTACGGACACGAGAAGAGCGGTTGTTGCACAGTATAACGCATAAAAAATAGAACGTTAGGTTTTTTTTTCTTATTAATATATATATGTGTGTGTGTGATGTTCACACGTGGGTTACGATGTTGTATTTACGCGCATTGTATGCATACAGCGGTGACGATGTTCGGTCCTTCTTGCTACGGGTTTTTGTTGCGGTTGCCAACTGTATATAAATCTGTTGCAGCCACGTCCTCGCCGACGACGCCACTGTTGTCCAGCTCTAAAAACGAGTTTCTTTGTGCGCGCGCGAGTTATTTTCATGCCGGATGTCGTAGACGCGCAATACGCGACAGGCACAGACCTGTCTGTATTTTCCACGGCGGCTGCGGCGTCATCTCTGCTGGCAATGAACTGAACATTATGAAGAATATATATATAATAAATACCATCGTATGTATAATAAAAATAAAAAATAAAACCCGTTCGTCGTGCCCGGACAGCTAGTGATGGGAATATTCAAGTTTTTAAAAGATCATCGATGTCCTAGTAGAAATAAAAAATAAATTTGAAAAAACTAGTTTCTAAATATAAATTTTTCCGCTGTTTTAGGCCGCAACAATTTTGTATGAACTCTTGCAGCTTGCAGTATAATATATTTTTTTTATTCTACATTAATTACCAATATTTACTTATGACCAGTTCGAATGCCGATATGTATCTTTTAATTTGAATAAAGTTTACTTCGTTGTTCCGAAAACTATCGTGTACGCACGTATAACCATAACGCATGAAGGTCAATTAATATTGATTTATATATATTTTTGTCATCTGGGCCATCCAATTGAAATAAAATTAACCTGTGTAACAAGTAATTATTCAAAATTTATAAACAGGGCATTAAGTAATTTTTTTGTAACATGAAATAAATAGAAAGAGAACATTTTTCTTATTGTTATTACGCTTTAATCTAGAGTCTTGGTGAAAAAGCGTTGTCAAATCATAATGCTTTCTGTGTTTGACGCAAATTGTGTTTGGAAGCTTTATTTACTTGTATTTAGTTTGTATTCCTTATAATATTTTAAAAATAATTTATCTTATTTTATAAATTTTTTTATTCATTTAATCATCATTATACACTACATTTAATTTAATCTGTGATTGTTTTTAATTGAATAATTAATTCTCAAATATAAAGACTTCTTCGCCATTTTAATTCTTATAGTGGTGTATACCTAGGATTTCGTTGAAAGTGGCTATTTGTTCTTTCAACTATGTACGGCCTTTTTTTT